ATTGAATATGACAGCAGTTTATTTTCCGCTCAACAGGTGGTTAAACACAATTGCTTGCCTTAGCTTTAAAGATTTTTTCTTTATGCATTTTTTCTCTGATTTCCGCTTTTGATAAAACACAAATTAAAAAACTGGATTTATATGCTATTCGCTATTCGCTGGGTTATCTGAAAACTAAAATTCACTGTTGTAGCTTAAGGTCAATCTCTATTTCAAGTTTATCCTTGCTCTTCCATTATCGCAGACCAATTAGAATCCTAGACAAATATAAATGAAGAAACATAACAGCTCATACATAATCAAGGACGGACGATTAGCTAAATTTCGGAGATTATTTTTTATTTAAAAAATCTTCAAATTAAAATTGCTCAAATCAAAATATGCACGTGACAATCCGGGAGTAAGAAAATAGCAGACCGCCAGTAATCCGTAGAGTCAAGTTTTCTAAAAACAATTTTCACTTTACATAAAAAAAATTCCAATCGGGACAAAAATCTCAGATTTTAGGATCCCAAGGCACGCAATTTATCACTATACCAAGTGGGAAGGGGCCCAGAAGTTGTTACTCTTGCGATAAGCATGAGTATTGCAATCGGGTTTTAGACTTTTGTCCCATAAAAAAAACTTTTCACGAAAAAATTGAAATGCTTATTTTCAAGACATGCTCAATTTCTTGAGGTTCAAATAAATCTACATGCATTTAGGTAGCAAACAGGTGTTAAACATTTACAGCAGTAATTGTTTCTTCAAATAGTTTAAAAATTCGATTTTTTTGGAGTAGTGGTTTTCGGCCTAGTATTTGTCGGTGCATTTCGCATTTTTTTTATGAAACAGTTTTGGCTTGGGTTTTATTGGTTGATTCAATGTTTTTTGTGTAGTGCTTAAAGCCAAAAAATCCTGTGCGACAAAATCAGGGATTATTAAAAGCATGGGTTTTCTTACAGTATAGATTACTTTCATTATTTAAGAGTTTCGATATTTTTTATTCATTTTTGACAGAAAGTTAATTTTTGCTGACAACAATTTCTCTGACTTCCAAAAAACTGTCACCAACGAAAAGACTCGTTTTTTACATTGGGTCTGCATGTTTTCTTGATCATTTATCTTACTTTTTTTCAACGTCATCCCGGAAACTTTCACGGAGTGGATTGTTTGATTCATTTTCGTGACTTTTTCTATTTGACTAGCGCACCAAATCTGTGACAACGGTTTTGATGAAAAAAAAACAGGTGGTAGTTCCTTCTGTAAAAGTCTATTTCGGCCAAAAAAAAATCATTTTTTCGAAGTTCTCTCAAAAACTACCATCTCAAATCTGAGTTTAAAGAATCAAACGGAAAAACAGGTTGCTAGAATCTTCAGTTCAAGTGTATCTCACAATTTTAATATAAAAAATATGGTTGTTCGAAAAACTCAAAACTTTGATTTTTTTCTTTTTGTTTGCAAAATTTTTGAGTTATTAAAAATTACCCAACTAATTTCAAGGTTAACGCTTCATTTAAAACAACAATCTTCGGACTTTTTTTTGCTGCATAAACTGTTTTGCTTTAGTTGTAGAAAAAACTATGGCTTTCACGCAGATGATTTTTTCATCTCTGAGAACGTTTTCGAAACAGTTTTGACATTTACCAAAAAATTATCCTGTTAAATCTACAATAAAGGGTTTAGCTGAAGGCGCAGGTTGCAAAAGTTTTCGTGCAGAGTTGCAAGTTTGTATACAAATTGTTGTACTTACGAATAGACCGTTTTCTGAAACTTTTTTTAAAAAAAGTTTTTCAAATTTCAGTTCTCGAAACCTACCCTGCCAGATTTAAGAGTTAAATAAAAAAAATTGGTGCTGGATTTTTTCTCAATCAAAACAAAATCCTGTGAAAAAATTCCGTACAGCAGCTACGCCATACTTTTTTGGAAAACTGCAATGAAGCCACACCAAAAGGTCACAATTTTGAGATCTCGATACTTTTTTGGACACTTACTTTCTTTCTTAAACACTGCCTTGCCAATTCTGAGTCTAATGATTTATTTGAAAACAAAGCTTTGTTTTGAAATCTTTCGTGCACAAACGGTTAAACTTATTTTTTCGTAGAAAGGTCAGTAAGGCTTAGGAAAAGCCCAGTTTCCGAAACTTTTATCGTTTTGTTTGAAGTTTTTCTTTTTTCTAAAAAATACCCCATCAAATCTGATTTTGAGTCCTTTAAAAACGGAAACTACTTCTCCCCTGCTTATCCGACTAATACCATTATTTTAATAGAAACTACTATGGGCATGGGTTGAGACCAATTCTTTAAAATTTTAAGCTCAAAATTGAATATGACAGCAGTTTATTTTCCGCTCAACAGGTGGTTAAACACAATTGCTTGCCTTAGCTTTAAAGATTTTTTCTTTATGCATTTTTTCTCTGATTTTTGTTTTTGATAAAACTGGGTTATCTGAAAACTAAAATTCACTGTTGTAGCTTAAGGTCAATCTCTATTTCAAGTTTATCCTTGCTCTTCCATTATCGCAGACCAATTAGAATCCTAGACAAATATAAATGAAGAAACATAACAGCTCATACATAATCAAGGACGGACGATTAGCTAAATTTCGGAGATTATTTTTTATTTAAAAAATCTTCAAATTAAAATTGCTCAAATCAAAATATGCACGTGACAATCCGGGAGTAAGAAAATAGCAGACCGCCAGTAATCCGCAGAGTCAAGTTTTCTAAAAACAATTTTCACTTTACATAAAAAAAATTCCAATCGGGACAAAAATCTCAGATTTTAGGATCCCAAGGCACGCAATTTATCACTATACCAAGTGGGAAGGGGCCCAGAAGTTGTTACTCTTGCGATAAGCATGAGTATTGCAATCGGGTTTTAGACTTTTGTCCCATAAAAAAAACTTTTCACGAAAAAATTGAAATGCTTATTTTCAAGACATGCTCAATTTCTTGAGGTTCAAATAAATCTACATGCATTTAGGTAGCAAACAGGTGTTATACATTTACATTTACAGCAGTAATTGTTTCTTCAAATAGTTTAAAAATTCGATTTTTTTGGAGTAGTGGTTTTCGGCCTTGTATTTTTCGGTGCATTTCGCATTTTGTTTTATGAAACAGTTTTGGCTTGGGTTTTATTGGTTGATTCAATGTTTTTTGTGTAGTGCTTAAAGCCAAAAAATCCTGTGCGACAAAATCAGGGATTATTAAAAGCATGGGTTTTCTTACAGTATAGATTACTTTCATTATTTTAGAGTTTCGATATTTTTTATTCATTTTTGACATAAAGTTAATTTTTGCTGACAACAATTTCTCTGACTTCCAAAAAACTGGCACCAACGAAAAGACTCGTTTTTTTATTGGGTCTGCATGTTTTCTTGATCATTTATCTTACTTTTTTTCAACGTCATCCCCGAAACTTTCACGGAGTGGATTGTTTGATTCATTTTCGTGACTTTTTCTATTAGACTAGCGCACCAAATCTGTGACAACGGTTTTGATGAAAAAAAACAGATGGTAGTTCCTTCTGTAAAAGTCTATTTCGGCCAAAAAAAAATCATTTTTTCGAAGTTCTCTCAAAAACTACCATCTCAAATCTGAGTTTAAAGAATCAAACGGAAAAACAGGTTGCTAGAATCTTCAGTTCAAGTGTATCTCACAATTTTAATATAAAAAATATGGTTGTTCGAAAAACTCAAAACTTTGATTTTTTTCTTTTTGTTTGCAAAATTTTTGACTTATTAAAAATTACCCAACTAATTTCAAGGTTAACGCTTCATTTAAAACAACAATCTTCGGACTTTTTTTTGCTGCATAAACTGTTTTGCTTTAGTTGTAGAAAAAACTATGGCTTTCACGCAGATGATTTTTTCATCTCTGAGAACGTTTTCGAAACAGTTTTGACGTTTACCAAAAAATTATCCTGTTAAATCTACGATAAAGGGTTTAGCTGAAGGCGCAGGTTGCGAAAGTTTTCGTGCAGAGTTGCAAGTTTGTATAAAAATTGTTGTACTTACGAATAGACCGTTTTCTGAAACTTTTTTTAAAAAAAGTTTTTCAAATTTCAGTTCTCGAAACCTACCCTGCCAGATTTAAGAGTTAAATAAAAAAAATTGGTGCTGGATTTTTTCTCAATCAAAACAAAATCCTGTGAAAAATTTCTGTACAGCAGCTACGCCATACTTTTTTTGGAAAACTGCAATGAAGCCACACCAAAAGGTCACAATTTTGAGATCTCGATACTTTTTTGGACACTTACTTTCTTTCTTAAACACTGCCTTGCCAATTCTGAGTCTAATGATTTATTTGAAAACAAAGCTTTGTTTTGAAATCTTTCGTGCATAAACGGTTAAACTTATTTTTTTGTAGAAAGGTCAGTAAGGCTTAGGAAAAGCCCAGTTTCCGAAACTTTTATCGTTTTGTTTGAAGTTTTTCTTTTTTCTAAAAAATACCCCATCAAATCTGATTTTGAGTCCTTTAAAAACGGAAATTACTTCTCCCCTGCTTATCCGACTAATACCATTATTTTAATAGAAACTACTATGGGCATGGGTTGAGACCAATTCTTTAAAATTTTAAGCTCAAAATTGAATATGACAGCAGTTTATTTTCCGCTCAACAGGTGGTTAAACACAATTGCTTGCCTTAGCTTTAAAGATTTTTTCTTTATGCATTTTTTCTCTGATTTCCGCTTTTGATAAAACACAAATAAAAAAACTGGATTTATATGCTATTCGCTGGGTTATCTGAAAACTAAAATTCACTGTTGTAGCTTAAGGTCAATCTCTATTTCAAGTTTATCCTTGCTCTTCCATTATCGCAGACCAATTAGATTCCTAGACAATTAGACCAAGTTGAAAAGAATTTCAAAAAAATCAAACAAACACCAAAAATTACATTGAGCTTGAGAGTATTTCATGTTTTACCTATAAACTACAAAAAACACTTCGTTTGTTGAAATTTAAAGCCTGTTTACAAAATGTCAAAACTAACTTGGATACTAGGAGCATGAAAACTAAGATAAAAACCAAAAAATTAAATATGCTTTACAAAGAGATAATTTAAATCTACTAATGGACAAAATCTATCTATAAACTTTGAAATTGGACAACTAAAGGCAGAAATGATTTAATTTAAACTACTGGAGCTGATAACAGTTACTTGACAACGACTTTTGAGTTGTACGTTTTCTTTAGACTCTATTCTATGTCAGGAAGATATAACTGAGAGTCTACGTCTGACCAGATCGTCATACCTCTTCTGTAGCAAGAAAACAAATCGCTCTTTCTCTTTGGCAGTTCGGAAGGAGATGTTAAGGTACTGAATTGGCATGTCGCAGAGGTGTCTCGATGCATCCGACGAGTCATAAAACTCCTCGTCAACCTTTAAAAAAGATTTATTTTGATTATTTTCATTCACATTTCATAAGTCATCGTTTCGATATTTATGATTCAAAATTACATGAGTCATTTGTTCATTTTATCGAATAGTATAAGCGATATTTTCCGAGGTTGCAATTTATCAATTAAATAAAACATGGCCAACAGATAGTTGAAAAAGAGTCAATGAACTAAACAGAAAAATGTAATGACTTGTTTATGAAGAAATCTCAAATTGCGAATTTCAAAAAAATAGACGCCCATAAAGCTCTTTGAATTTCCGTAACAATTTATGACTGACACTTTTTTTTATAAAGTTAACCCAATTTGAGAAAACCCGAGCAATAAGTAAAATTTTAAATCGCTGGGAAGTCTGAAAATTAAAATCAACTGTCGAAACTAGAAGTCGATCACGTTTTTCATGACATGTACAATTTGGTGTTCGAGAGTGGAGTTTGCCATCCTTTCAACAAAGGAAAAGAAGTGAACATAAAAAGAAATCAAAACTGCGAAAAAGTAAATTCGAGGCGGAAATTTTCCTGAAAAACAAAAAAAAACAAAACATCGCGACCAGCAGTTGCATTAAAACACTCCTAGTAAATGAAGTTTTAACGTTATTGACCATTAATGTCCGTAAAATTTTCGAAACTTAGAGCAATGTACCAAATAATGAATTATATTCAATCAGATTTCAGTACACGTAGACAAAAAGCCAGCCTAACTCAATTTAGGAGAGAGATTATTTAGTTGGTTAAACGTAATATTTTTCAGCCAATCAAAATTGAGCTCAGTACATGCAGGCTTAAATTTGTCATAATTTTAGGGGGGAGATTGTTTATTTAGTTTTTAAGGGGGTAGATTGTTCACATGGGCCAGCCAGTTTCACAATCACTTCCGAGTCAAGGCGGTTTATCAGATCCGAATGGTCGAATCCAATTGTAGAAAACACCCTTTCTAACCCCGCTGAATCAGTTTGTAACAGAAGTAAGAAACACGTCTGGTTAAATAACATTGTTATTAACTGTGTAAATAACAGGGATGTTAATAGCAATGAAACACTGTCGCGACCCATATTAGTGTTGAACTACATTTTATGATCATTTATTTTATCATTTCATTAGTTATCGTTTCGATATTTGTGATTCAAAATTACAGGAGTCATTTTTTCATTTTATCATTAAGTATTAGCGAAACTTTTCGAGGCTGCAATATGTCAACTAAAAAAAAAAAACAGCACAAAAACATTAATGCTTAAATCACCTTGAGTTCCATTGAGTCAGAAAGATCCTCCAGTGACTGTGCCAGAGTCCTTACACTGAGAGACAGAGAAGAAGCTGCGGATCCGTGGCCCAAGAGTTTCAAAATGAGCACCTGGGATATTTTATGTACGCATATTATTCTCTGCTGTGCTTTTTGTTTCGAAGTACCAGTCAGTTCTGCCTCCCGATTCGAGCTGGCTGGTTCCCTTTCAAGGTCATCCGAGGACTCTTGCCGACCATTGGATGACATTTGCGGGTCTTCTGTAGACTCTGTCGCCCTATTTCTCCAACTGCTGCTTCCCATTATTTCAAGGGTGGGTTCTTTAATACAACAGATATAGTGGTCTATGAGGATGATCAGTGGGAATGTAGAATGTATGACATCATTGATGCTCAATTTCATCAGATTCGCAGCGAAAAAAATTCTTCCGCTACTTTTCTGGGCACTACTACTTGCACCGTTTAGCTCTACTGTGCTTCTGATACTGTTGTTGAAAATGGAGTCCTTCAAATCCATCAAATTCAATTCGCAATTCGTCTAAACCAAATCACGTTAACAGGTTACTTTTTTCAAAAATCAAAACAGCCTCAATTTTTCAATTCGAAATTGCAGTTTTTCTACATAGCAACTTCTACATAGACTTGGTCTCATTTAATTCCACATTTGTTTTGAAGCTTTAAAAAGTAGTAACAAATATAGGCTTCAAAAAATTTTCTCTCCAATTTATTCACTTTTCATAAGTCGACAGATTAGACTACCCCACGCTAATACAATATGTATTAAAGTCTTCATATTTTACCATAACAGATTTCTAAACTGAATTTAATTTACCGGCACGTTCGGAAACTGAGCAGAGAAGGCTTGCAAGTCACTTGCATCCAAGGTCGCAACAACCATCACTCTCTCCACAATATCACTCCCCTCACGCTCCGGCTTTGGATCAGAAGAACTAGGACTACTAGTAGTACTTTGGATGTATCGCATCTGGGCACAATGTGAGGTTGAGTTCAAAGATAGAGATCGAATTTGGTGAAGTGGAATTGTGCACATGAGACATAGGTGGGACGCCACTGCATCTTCTAGAGGCATCACCCTCCTCCCGCCTCGTAACACTCCGCCCAACCTGAAAGAGGAGAAAGAAACAATTGTTGATTAATTTAAAATCACATTCAAAAGCAGAGGCACATCTTGGGTTTTCTTTAGAAGCGGGTGGAGTACGTCAAAGAATTTTTGGTCCGGTCAAATGGATTCTCCTAGTTCTCCCAAGACACTTAATTATTCAATTTATATAATAATAATAAATTGTTTACAGGTAATTCCATTGTGGGTAGTTAATAAATTTACAAACCACATCAACAATTTCACTTCCTAGGAGAGCACCATTGGACCTAGAGGTCTGTTCACAGGTGACTCAGAGCGAAATTCATTTAGTAAGTTATTGATACTGGGTGAGATATAAATTCTCAATACTTGAAATCAAATCATGTGACTACTTAGATTAATTTATATTGGTCTTCACCAAAAAATGAGGAAAGGAAACTTTAGTACAAAAAAGACAAAAAAATCATGGAACTTAACTAAAAGAAATTTTTTTAAAGAGGTCTTCGTTATCCAGGATGTAGCAGTCTAAAAAATTAAGATTGAATAAATTTATTTTGTGGACAGAAGAATTTTTTGTTTTCTAGAAAATTAGGATGATAATTTAGGATAATGTTTAAGCGATATATTGCATTTTAGAAGAGCTAAGTTTCCATCTCAACTTTCTTTTAATTGCGACTGTACACAGGAGCAAAGTTGTTTGAAAGTACTCTACTACATTTTCTTGCCTTGCTCCGATCACAATTCAAGATGCTCCGATCACAATTCAAGATCCTATGGACAACTCAGTGTACCTGTCAAATGCATAATAAGCACAATCGAATTTTAAATTAGTATACACCCATCAAGGTCCTATAATTTGAGTCCCAACTAAAAGTTAACGTGCTTCTATGAGTAATGCCAAAATGTTGACAATATGCTTTTAGGTCTAACGAATCTAACCCAAGTTAAATAACCCAAAACTGCACATTTTTACGCCTGAAATTAGTTTACCACTCACTTGAGCACGTAAAAAACCAAATGACAAAGTCTAATTAACCTAAAACAACCGTTTTTTACCGATAAGCTGCTCAACGTCATCGATATTGCCAACTATTTGTCAGCACCTGTAAATCAATTTACCTTTTCGTAGCAGCTGAAGTATCTGCACTTTGTTCAAGACTGGGCGCGAAGAAATCTGAGGATGTTGGGTTGGAGGTGTTGTCGAAATATATCCTCACACTCTCATTGGACACAAGCAGCACAGCCGGTCTGGGACAGGACATGAGGTATGTCTGGACGTAGGCCCACACACACTGACGCAACTGTTCCTTCTCTTGTGGTCTGCCAGTGAGAGCGTCGTGGAATGTGTTTATGAATTTGCGGGGATCACAACTCGCCAGACTACGCAAGGCTTAAAACAAATTAACTTAAAGCTGTGAAAAATTTCACAAAATCAAGCATGGTCAGAAAGTAACCAGATAGCCTGCAATCAAATTTCCGTAATTTTTTGCTTTAATCGCATATTGACTGAATTTTCATAATTTGAGAGAAGGTTCCGGAAATTTGATACAATCAATCAAATATTTCAACCGAAAGGAAAATGATAGAATTAAAAGATCATCCAGAGTAAGGCTGGTCTAGAGTTCCTTGAAAGCTCTTCACGTCAAATTTGATCAGAGTATGTACTCTACCTTACTTCTGTTACCTATTGGTATCGGTAGCGTTGCGAGTGCACTCTTATTGCTCCTGGAAACCTGTTCCCACAGCTGGAAACTGGGATACGCATCCTCTCCGTCCCCCTCCCCCTCCCCTTTTAGAGCCCCACAGACTGACTTGAAGGGGTCGAGAGTATGCCCCCCAGGTGAAGATGAGAGGGAGGCGGCGGCGGAGGATCCCCTGTGCATGAATTGAGTGAGGAGGGCTAGGAATGTGTCCACATGTCGCAGACTCACGTCTCCTTCCTCTTCTTTCCTGTAATCATAGATGAAGAAATTCTCTGGTGTTAACTTGACATCAATTACGTTTGAACAACATTTATAAATATATAATGCACTAGAGAGGACAGCTAGCGAATACACGGGGATCACATGCTTTGCTGACCAAATCTCAAATTAACAACATGGCGAATGGATTTTTATTTACATGGTAATTACTTCTGTCACAACGTGCACATAACCAAAACCGAATTAAGCGATGCAATTAACGATTTGTCTCATTCTTTTATCCAAGAACATTTATCCGCGGTGAATAAGAAAAAGACGCTGCTTTAAAAACGTTTCACTCCAACTTTACATTCAAATTATAAAATGAACACTAGAGCTTAATTTCTACTCCACTTCTAATTCTTCTAAATATTCACATTTTATAATCGAGTTCTGGCCATTTCTACACTCATTGTGATCTTTCATAATTATAAAAACCAAGTTTTTTCCTGAGACTAGCCTGACAATGAATGAGAAGAGTTGTGTGCAGTCTGTCCTGGATGAGACATTGCTGGACAAGAGAGACACCAGTTCCCTGCCGCACTCTCTCTTCTTGTCAGTAGATGAAGCAGAAGAGGAGGGGGGTGGTGGTGGGGATGGTAGAAGGAGACAACTCCAGTCTATCATGTTCACTTCTCCTGTCAGTCCCATCACCAGACCCCTCTTCACCTGTCTCACTGCACTACAATGTAGTCGAGGCACATCTACCTACATATACGAATATGAATAACAGAGTTTAAACAGTGAAGTTGCAATTTTCAAACACGCAAAAAAGGCAAAATGGAGGCTTAAAATTCTAAGAAAACACTAAAATAAGTGAGTGAGCTTCGAAAAAGAAGTAGCCACTATGGGATTCAAACCACCGAAAAGCACATGAAATAGCCAAAAAGCAAGTGTTTTTCATAAAAAGTGCAAAAATTGAGTCCCGACATCGTATTTGAGCAGAATATAACACTTGGCCAAGAACAAAAGTAAGACCGAAACCCCTCAAGGCTCTACTTTAACCCTTCTAAGATCAACACTCTTTTTTTTCATCGGAGCTAAGACAAGTATTTACCTCACTTACTATTTTCTTCCTACGTTTATTCTTCAATTTACATAGCCAACAAAGAGTTGGAAAAGCATTAATAAACTAAGGGAACCGTTCGTATGTTTATTCTTCAATTTAAAAAGCCAACAAAAAATTTAAAAAATTGAAAAGCATTAAGACACTTGCGGAACCGAAATATATATATATATATATATATATATATATATATATATATTCACACAAGAGCGAAGCGGAGCGTCGCAACAATCGCGATGCAAAAAAAAACATTGCGCTCCAAGATAGTGAATGGAAAAAGACAGAAGTCAAAATAACTTAAAAAAATAACTCGGAAAAAGTAATAAAAAAAAACAAATCCAAAAACAAGGATAGCCGGTTACTGTACGTAGCAAAAACCAATGAACGCAATGAAACTGGTTTATGCAAAAAATTAATCTTTGGAACATCAGAGGCGAAGTTGCACTTGGCACACAAAATCAAAAATATGACCGATAAAGCTACTGGAAAAAACTGGATGAGTGAAACTTTGAGTCTACAAGACTTCTTAAGTGACGCACCTCAATTATGAGTCTACATAATTGCTAAGTGACGCAAGCCAATTATGACGCATTAGCAGTACCAGTCATATTGAAAAAAAAAAAGAAATTTACCAACTAACATGCCTCAATTTATAGAGCGGACGCATTTCAACTAAAATACAAAAAGTTCATTAAGAATATCCGACCCTGCCCAGGTTCGAACTCTCTGATTTTACTGCGGCTTTAATATAATTTTTTACTCAAATCAGTCCGATGATTATTTGCGGTACCTGCATTTGCGTGGAAAACAAAAAGGAAAACTAAAACACACCCGAATACAAAAGTTCCTCCCCATTTTCAATCATCGGAAGAAAAACCTTATGTTTGCATCGGATGATGTTCATAAAAACCTTACAACATATGGAAACCATTAACCGAGCGGCATCAAGGGCGACAAATTTTGGGGGCGGCGGATTTTGAGATATCATTTTTGGCTGACTGACCCTAAAATTTTTCTAAAGGCGCCAAAATATACTAATTTTGAGGGGTGAGTTCGCGCGACGAAAAAACGCGATTTTTGGGTCAAAATTTTCCAAAAAGTACCTAAAAACGCCTTTTTTCAAAAATTCGACTGCGGCACAGAACATTTGGTCAAAATAGGGTCTTTATAGTGGGTTGGTAAAGCTCAGAAAATCAAAGTGGTCGACCTCAAAAAAAGGTCAACAATTTCCGCCCTCCCCCCTTGAGAAAAACTTAGATCCACCCCTGTTAAACCCACGTCTTAAACTAACAGTTAAGCTCTATTTCAGCGACCGAAAGAGCGCGAATTGACATCCATCTGGCAAATAAATTTAAAGTCAGTTTCAAAAGCATCAAAAATCTAACCGCCAAAAAATAAAAATGCGCGTGAACCTAATAACAATTCGAACGACCTAAATTTAACTTTCTTCTGAACTCTAAATAAACATGTTCAATACACTCACCTGTATATTCGTATTTTCTCCCTTTTCATGATTCTCATTCAGTGATTCTTCGCCGTTTGCATTTTCAGCCGCAATTAGATCCTTGTTCACTCTCCCATCTAAAAAGCAGGCAACAATTTCACACAGCCGTATCGGGATTTAGTAAACATAAGGGATATAAAGATGCCGTTCAACAAGCAGTGTCTTTCAGAAGCAATTCGAACCCACTACAATTTGAATTTGCCTTTGTTGTTTGGAAAGAAAACTGAAGTTTTCGTACGTCAATTCACCAAAATGGTCAAATTTAGTGTATTTTATATTTTACACAGAGGCGAAGCTGCGCTTCGCAACACAAGCGAGGAAAAAGCAAAAAAGATCTCTAAACAGGCAAAACAAAGTGAAATAAGGAAAAGGTTAAAAAGACACCATGAGAAATTTTTTTGCAAGGCTTGGGGTAACACGTTCTCACGTCTGCTTCATCACCGCTTGTAATTTTACTAACACTAGCCACCAATAAAGCAGCTGCAGTTTCTATCAAATTGCCAATGCGATGCAGGAAAAACTCGACCAAAAAAACTTTAATTGTTTCAATGTTCCGGATTTGGATCTCCTACCGGTTGATTAGGATTTCCACATCCTCGTAATCGAGCCACGGAAGCTTGGAAAGAAAACTAGTTGCTCGGCATAATCTAGCATAAATTCACATGTTTTAATATTTTGATTAAATTTTGTACTGATACCGAATTGCGCAACTTTGAAAGTTTCAAAAATGCACTTAACGCAAAACCCTAGTGAGTTTTCTGCTTAAGTAGGGGATTAGCTGCATATTAAAGCAAAAAACTACTAATCGATCTTTCAACTGAATTCTTTATCTCGGATTTGGCTGGGTAGTTTCGAAAAAGTTCCGAAAAAGTTGGCTTTTTCTAAATTCACAAAATTTTCTCTACTAAAGCATGGGAATAGTCTCGTCAGTAGGGAAGATTTCCACACCCTGATTTTTAGATTGAATCCTTACTATCGGCTTTAGCTAGTAGCTTTCGAGAACAGTACTGAAATTTCTTTAAAAAAACGGTAAAAACTTTTTATGGAAATGGATTTTTCGGATGTCCATATCGGCTTTTCTACAAAACAAATTATACAGGAAAAAAACTAAGAACGATGTTAGTTTGAATGAATTATCAACCTCAGAATCAGCAGGTTAGTTTTTGAAGAAAAAAAAAAGAAATTTCCAAAAATTGGGCAAAGTTTCAAAAATTGTACATTTTCTAAGGCCATATTTTTTCAAAACGCAGGGCATAGCCGCTTGCGCTTAGAAGATTCGCATACCACGTGTTTTCTTCCGGTTGAACACCTATTCTCCGATTTTGCAGGGTAGTTTTTGAGAAAAGTCAAAAAAATTTAAAAATTAACCAAAATGTCAAAAAATGGGCTTGTTTGACGCCATAACTTTTTTCTTCCGAATTTAGGGAATAACCGCTTGAGAAAATCTCAATGATTAGTTCTTTAGTTTAAACGTTAATCTCAGATTTATGCATTTATTATTTGAGAAAATGAACAAATTCAAAATCAAATAAGTCAAAAATCCCCCTACTGAAACTTTCGAAAGCTGTAGAACGTGGTGTAAACTGAAAAGAGACTAGCAAAATATGCAGGCACAGGGAACAGCAGCCATTTTTTCCAATGACACCATTGTTAAGAAAATTAGTTCAGTAGTTTTTGAAGTTTTTGTGAATAGTTCAAAAATTTTCCAAAGGGTCGCAAAAAAACATCCCATACATTTTCATAACACCTGTTGTTTTGAAACAGGACCTAACACTAGCCAAAAATAAACCAGCACTAAATGATATTAAATTAACTATGCTTAAATATGATGAAATTGAAATATACCAAAAATGCCACTAATGAGCACTTTTATTTGCGACTTAGGTTGGAAAAAAAAGTAAGTTCGAAATAATACACTTGGCTTCGCTTGTGTAATCAGCAATTTGAATTTTCACGAAATCTACAAGAAAACTAATGTTTGCTATCAAAATCTATCAAAACTAACCTTTTTCCTCATTTGCGGATACCTCAGTGTCACCGTGTGCTTCTCCGTTTGCGTGCATCCCCTCGATACCCTGCTGTGCTTCCAAATTCTCATCTTTCAGTCCATTTTCATTGGGATCTGATGCGGTTGAATCAGGAGTCTGATCAATTGTCCTCGTGGTTCCCACTCTAGACTGGGAACTGTAAGAAGCCCCTTTTGCCTTCTGAAGAGCAACCAGAACTCGCACAGTGTTCAGCTCCTTCATAGTTGTCGGAATTCCTAAAATCATTATAGTCAAGACGCTGGAAAAAAAATCACGAGAAACAAAAATACCGACAAAAATTCTACCACAAAGCGAAGCTGCACTTCACAAAAATAATAGCCAAAAAACATTTGGCAAAGAGTCATGAACGCAAGTAAAGCAGAAAAAAAACAGACTCAATTTTTAAAAATGCTTCAACTTTCAATATTAAAGAAAAAACTGATAGCCTTAAAGCTCTTTCGATTTCCTGATCAAGTAATGGTTGACACTATTTAGATTAAATTAACCCAATTTGAGAAAGCTGAATCTATTGGTAGAAACTTTTCTTTCGCTGGGAAATCTGATAATGAAATTCCATTTTCGAAACCAGAAGTCGATCACGTTTGTTGTGAACTTTATACTTTGGCTGCTATTGTTGTTGTTGCAGTTGCCTCGTCGAGAGGCAGTGCATTAATTTTCATTATTTCGGTCATATATCATTATAAATAGTCTTCGTTTTCGCTTGGAATGGTTAGTTCGTAAGTTCAGTACTTCTTGAGAGAAGGTTGATATCTTAGTTGGGTTAATTTACAGTACTTCCAGTGGAAGATTCTTAATTTCGTCGTCTCTTTCAAGTCTTTCACTGCTGCTCCCGGGTGCCTTTGAGTTAAAGGGTGCATCTGGGTTAAGGGGGGCCATCCGATTCCAGTAACTGAGACGTTTGATGCTTCTGGTAGCGACGCCCATTTCAGTGAATCACCAAGCCGTCAAACGGGAAAATGATAGCACAGCTATGGTTGTGGTGTATTATTTCGTCTATAACGTATCTACGGAAGAGCAGAGAGAGGAACGTTTTTGGTTTCATAGCCGAAGCTATGAGCCAGTGTTGAGTCGACACTGGTCATCAAAAGCGAGTTCGACTGATATGCTTGAAGGCTGATCCAAACTGAGGAAGACAGAAGCCGCGACAGGATTGGACCAGAGTGAGAGTAGTGAGTGAAGTAGGGTTTTGGGGACATTGAAAGAGGTGGTTGGTATCGTGTGGGGTGTTAAAGAACTTGGAACGTTCGTTTGAGACACTTGGGTCAATTATGTTGAGGTAAGAAAGAAGGGGGGTAATTGCCGGAGCGTAGTTGAGCTAGGCTGGACCGGGTCTTGCGACTCAAAGATAGTTCAACTTGCTGTTCGATAACGGAGCATGCTTTCTTTAACAAAGGAAATGAACTGAACGTTTATTTGCGAATTAGGTTATATATAAAAAAGAAGGTTCGTAATAATACACTTAGATGATCGCCAGTGTAAATAGTAAAAAAAAAATTCAAAATAAACAAGCAAAGCTACACTTCGCAGACACTTGCGAGAACACGACCAAAAAGCAGCTCTATCAATTGAAACAAGAAATAAGCCTCGAATTAGCAAAATCTCGGCTACGCCGAGGATTCAATCTGCGACCTTGCAACTTTGAGTCCCACGCACTAAACACTCAGCCACGGATGCAAATTCCCTCAAAAACTAGCCACTAATAACCAAGCTACACATGCTAATAAATTGCCAATTCACTACCACAAAAGGGGGACCAAATACAAAAAGACACGTTTTTGCATGTAATAAATGGGAAAGCATAGAGCCAAATTATATGTAAATAGCTCATTTCAAAAAAAATTGCGGGATACATTGAGTTAGAACATTTCTGAAATCGAGCCTTTTATCATTTTACTGCTGTTTAAAACAATAAATTTTTCGGTTCATTTGATGAATTAAAAGTGCATCAACTGTTTAACTTTTTATTAATCAAATGTTAAAGCACATATTCGCAAGTGTAAGAATACATATCAAAACATAAAAATTGTATTGATCGGAACAACAACGTCTGAAAAAATTGATTCGAGTATAGCTCAGAAATGATTGGCTGGCTTATGTAATAATCCATCAGATTCCTCAAAACAGAAGAATTTATCAATAAATATTGACAGTTTCTGCCTTACATACACGTTACTTGATAGCTTCCTATTTTTGCGCTGAAAAACAGTTTCCAGAATTAGATAAGCTTTTAAAAACAGGGAAGCGTTGGTTATTCCATTAATTCTGTTCATAGCTTTAACATACCGTCTAAGGACACTTCCTGCGCCCTGTCTGCAAATATCTGAAGCACCTTGGTTCTGTAGTCTAGTAGGGAGCAGATGGGATTGTCCTTGAGCCACAGCTGTTCCAAGCATGGAAGCTGAGATATGCCAACAATATCTCCAACTTCACACAAACGGTTGCCAGAACATGACAGCTGCAACCATGTAAAACGAATTATTTTGTCCAAAATCTTAACTTTACAAGAATGACCGGTTGCTGTGAAAGGCGCACATAATATTTCGACCAGATTTCAGATTAAAAGTTCAAAAAATAAAGGATTCTTTTTGCATTTTTTCAGATCTAAAAATCCTGTAACTTTTCATCACAGAAAGGGTGATTGAAAAAGGTTACAAAAATCTAGAACGAGCGATAACTATAGTAAAAAAAATAGCGTTAAAATCATCGTAAAAATTGAAATGGCAGCCTCTCATCAGATTTCGTCTTATTCTCATCTAATTTAGTTTGAAAAACGAAAAATCCTTGACCAGTTTTTCTCGACAGTGAGCAAACTTTTCGATTTTTTTTTGATATGTTACTATAAGTTCAATGCTTCGATACGATAGTATAATTGAACCCCTCTGAGCTTTCAAGGTAGTCAAAATTAGCTTAAAAAACGACCAGAATTCAAAGTTTTTTTCATGCGAAACGAATGACTAGTCTAAAATGAATCTTCTAGACTACCAGTGTATTACTGCGTACTTATATCACCTACCAACTCTAAAGAGTACATCTTGGCCATTCCGTCCAGCGAGAACAGTTTGTTGTGATCCAGCAACAGCTTCTTCACATTTCCCAATTTAGCATGCAGATCCTCCAGACATGAGAACTGATTGTAAGACAAGTCCAGTTCTCTCAACTGAGACAGCTGGCTCAGATTTTGCACGCAGAATAGACTGTTGTGACTCAAGTCTAGGAACTGCACTTTGGGTGCTGCTATCTGCAGACACTCGTCTATGCTGGTGAGTCGATTCCGAGAAAGATTAAGCCGCACCTGAATTTAAAAAACGCAGAGATTATGCCTCTCGCTGTAAAACAACTACGATACACTATTTAACATTTTTCCAAAGATCTAAGTATTTCAAAAGCACACACAACCCAGCCACTCTCTAATAAACAAAGAGCTCATTTGACAAACACAAAAAAAGCGAAGAGATCAGTTGTTAAAAACGGGAAACAATGTTTTTTTTTCTTCAAATATTGCTTTACTCGTCAGAGAACACCATGCTGTGACAACAATTACTGACAAAGTTCAACTTTCGAATATCAAAGAAAGAATATATGGCCTTAAAGCTCTTTGAACTTCAAGATTATTTTAAAATTGAAACTTTTTTTGATAAAATTAACCCCATTTGAGAAAACTGGGCCAATAGGTAAACTTTTTATTTCGCTGGGAAATCTGAAAATCAAAAACAACTTTCGAAACTAGATGTCGATCTCCTTTTTCGAGACCTCGACATCTTTGCTATTCAATAGTGGAGCTCGCCTTCCATTTAACAAAAGATATGATTGAGTAAAAAGCAACTTTTTCAATTCGATTCTGTCCAAAATTAATCATGAGACTGACTGTTTTTTAAAGTCTGTCCTGCTGTCGGCCTATTTTTTTCACAGACGAGAGCCTTTGTTCACCTTAGGGATCTACAAAAACTGTTTTTAGGCATTCAAACTTGTGATGTCTTCAAATGTTTTGTCTTCGACTCGCTTTCAGCATTAATTTTTTTCTTTAACTTGTCGCTTACAACAAATATTCAGGTACAACAAATTATAACAGATGATGTCCAGTTATATATCATATAACAACCCGCTTCTATCATGATTCGATTATTTAGAATGACAAAACACTTTGCTTCGAGTCAAGTAAAAATGATTTTAAAAAATTTGGAAACAAATCGAAAGTCAAACCGCGGAAAATCAAATTTGAGCGTGAACAAATAGACTTTTTCTGAAAAAAATCAACACAACCTATACAAGAGAGTCTTAATATGACTTACAATATGCGGCCAAAGAGGCGGCTGTGGTAGATTAGTTGGATTGAGGAGTTGACATGTGTTAGAAATAGACTTGTGGCAGTGCAGATTGACAAGAGAGTTTGTGAGAGGAGGGAGAGAGGCGTCCCAGTCTACCATCTCCAGATTGACACACTCCAGTTGCATGTGGCGCACACTGCGGAAGTAGGCCAGAGAAAACATCACCCGGTTCAATTTCCAGTCAGAGGTACCTGCAGAAAGTTACTCAAAGCACTCTTCAAAAGCAATTTAAACTTACCAACAATTACTTGAGGGTATCGCGAAAGCTTGATAAAAAATTCAAAAATCAGCACCGGGGTGAAAATTATGAAATCTCGTTCGTAAATTACAGATGCTCCACTTTGCAAACGACAGCAAAAAACTAGGGAGTTTTGAAAATGCAATAAGACACAAAAAATATGTCATGAAAAAAATAAGCCTGAAAAAAAAAAGTTGGCCGCCGCCAGGATTCGAACCATGAGTCAAACAGGCTACAACCTAAATCATTGCGAATGCACGAGAATTAGCTTCGAGTTTAAGTATAGTATGATTAACTGCTGAAATTCGCATTTGGTAACTGAGCCGGCAAAAAAAAACATTTCATGACCGGGCTCGAACGTGAGTTGCTTATGAAATACTTATAGAAACTTACTGATTTTGTTACTCCAGTTGTTCACCTTGAAAACATATGTTTATTTCATTTACGTCCGCTAATTGTAAGCGTAATTATTCATTTCTGTTATTAGGCATAAGATGGAGGAGCAAGAAGCATAATTCAATGGAAGGTTCTTAATTTGTATGCAGTTTCTATATAGTAAGCAACAGTAGTAGGCTACTGAGCATTCTGCACAAAATGATCCGACCACGAAAAGACAAAAATGATACAATAAAAACACTAAATACATGAATGGCAATAAAACCTATTCTCTTTTAAACTTTTTCTGAGTGCTCTTCTTAAAGATACTTTTGAGAGTATACGAAAGTGTTTCAGATTTTAGCGAGTCTAGAAAGACATCTTCAGACCCGCAGAAACACTTAATTACAAATGAAGGATATAAATCAAATGCCATGAAACTCTCACTTCGACTTAGGTTAGCTTCGGCTTACAATTATGTTTCTCAAAATAACTTAATCCTTAAAGTTTTTTGTTCAATACAAAGGCAAAGCGGAGCTTCACATCACTTGCGATACAAAAATGATCAGTATGATCACCAGAAAATGAAAAGACAAATAAAAATTTTTTAAAAAAGTTGTTTTTAAGTCATTTTTTTTCGAAAAATTGCAAAAAAGGATTAAAAATTTCTGGAACAAAATTGCCTGCACCATTACAAACTTTACAAAGAGCTTTCAAAATTCTCAAAAGAAACCGAAATTTTCTGTGGGACCTAAGCCGACACAAATTAGCAGACACGAAAGTCTGAAATATTCGAAATTTTTCAGGTTCCACAAAAACATGTCCCGACTGGAATCGAACTTCTGCAATTTGTAGCCTCAAGCATGGGCTTTACCACTGCACTTAATGCACAGAACACTCCTAGAATTTATAAAGAAAACAACTTCGAAAAATTTTAATGACTAGCATGAAAGTAAAGAAATAGACAAAACATCTTGGAACTCAATTACTTGCCCAAACCCGGAATACACTGAGTAAATTTGAGTAAAATGAGATCAAATTTTAGGCAAATTTGGTGCTGCGGCAACTAGCCAACAAAAAAGCAGACGTCCGTCAAGGTAATATGATTCAAGTGATTCTGTTCAACTAGTTATTAACCCAAAAAAACATATTCCGGTTTCATAACGCTTGCTCATCGCAAGAGCAATAAGAAAGACGAACTTTTTATAGAATTTAGTTTCGAATATCATCTTTTTGATAATGAATCATTATACAAACTGCTCTTTAACTGATGCCCACTTTACACCTTTATGATTCTGCTCTTTAAATTCTTGAGATGACCCACTCGATGAGATGAAATTCTTTTTTTGGGCCATCTTCCAGGCATTTATAATCTATTATATATTTAAATGCGGATTCACTATCTCGCCATGTTTAAGCTTTTTCAACGTATTATTTTTGCATGATTAAGCTATATCGTATATTGCAATCATTAAGAATTTTTTTTCATTTTCCAATTTGATTTTAGTGGTTATTTTACCGAGTTTAAGTTAAGCAGCCCAATATCGAATTAGGGGTTGCGAATTTGGCCTCCAATTTTGAATGCCCGAATCATTTTAGTTAACTAGATAAGACGATTTTTGAGATTTTTTCAAAATTTTCAGAAATTTCAAATAACAAAATAATTTACAAAACTTGAAGTTCCCAACGCTGTAGTTGGGTGCTGTCGGAGTACTCTAAGGAGTTACAAATCTTGCCTCCAAATATGACTGTTCAAATCCTTGTAGTTTTCGAGATATGACGTTTTTTGTGATTTTTTCAAAAAATTTTCAGAAAACTTATATGAATTTTTTTCGCAAATTCTGAAATTCCCAACCCTGTAGTTGGATCCTGTCAGAGTAATCTCAAAAATTGCGACTCTTGCCTCCAAATATGACTGCTCAAGTGTAGTTTTCGAGTTATGACGTTTTTTAAGATTTTTTCAAAATTTTTCTGAAAACTTAAATTATTATTAGTTTTAAAAAATCTGAAATTCCCAACCCTGTAGTTAGGTCCTGTCGGAGTACTCTATGGAGTTACAAATCTTGCCTCCAAATATGACTGCTCAATTCTTTGTAGTTTTCGAGATGTGACGTTTTTTGTGATTTTTTCAAAAATTTTCAGAAAACTTAAATTATATTTTTTCTTTAAAAATCTGAAATTCCCAACCTGTAGTTAGGTCCTGTCGGAGTACTCTCAAAGATTGCGAACCTTGCCTCCAAGTATGACTGCTCAATTCTTTGTAGTTTTCGAGATATGACGTTTTTTGCGATTTTCAAAAATTTTTCAGAAAACTTGAATTATTTCTATTCTTTAAAAATCTGAAATTCCCAACCCTGTAGTTAGGTCCTGTCAAAGTACTCTCAAGGATTGCGAATCTTGCCTCCAAATATCACTGCTCAATTCTTTGTAGTTTTCGAGATGTGACGTTTTTTGTGATTTTTTCAAAAATTTTCAGAAAATTTAAATTATATTTTTTCTTTAAAAATCTGAAATTCCCAACCTGTAGTTAGGTCCTGTCGGAGTACTCTCAAAGATTGCGAACCTTGCCTCCAAGTATGACTGCTCAATTCTTTGTAGTTTTCGAGATATGACGTTTTTTGCGATTTTCAAAAATTTATCAGAAAACTTGAATTATTTCTATTCTTTAAAAATCTGAAATTCCCAACCCTGTAGTTAGGTCCTGTCAAAGTACTCTCAAGGATTGCGAATCTTGCCTCCAAATATCACTGCTCAATTCTTTGTAGTTTTCGAGATGTGACGTTTTTTGTGAGTTTTTCAAAATTTTCAGAAAGTTTAAATCAATTATTTTTCAAAATTTGAAATTCCCAACTCTATAGTTCGGTGTTGTCAGGGTACTCTAAAGAGTTGCAAATCTTGCCACATGCGACTTCTAAACGCGACTGCTCAAATGCTTTTAGTTTCCGAGATGTGACGTTTTTCGATTTTTTTAAAAAATTTCAAAGAACTTATCTACAAAGAAATTCAAAAATTTTGAAACTACAAACTTGATGAAGATACAACCTTATTGTCAGCGTACACCCAGGCGTCTCAAATCTTGCCTTTAAATATGAATGCTCAAATCCTTTTAGTTTCCGAGAAAAGACGTTTTTTTCAATTTTTTTTCGGGAATCTTAGGTTTAAAAAACTCACAAAATTTTGGATTCCTAATCCTATAGTAGGGTGCTCTCAGGGAGTCTCAGTGGTGGCAAATCTGGCTTCCAAATTTCTCCAGAGGCCCATTAAGTTTTCGAGATGACGCTTTTCAAATGCGAATTTAAAAAAATTAAAAGTTCGAAATTACCAAACCTGGGTGCAGTCAGAGTACACTAAAAGCTTGCAGATGTTGTTTCCAATAAATGCGGTTTTTTTCATGAGTTGTCGAAAAATTTCGAAGCACCGAAGGTGCGTTAATTGCTAGTAGTATTTATTTGCTGTTGTAAGGTAGCTGGTAAACTTGAACCTTACACTACTTTTTTTTTCAAATACTTATTGTCATTTTCTTGAGTACTAATAGAGGATTGAAATCAGTCTTCTAATTAAAATAATATTTTAAAACAGAGGCGAAGTTGCATTTCGCATACACAAGCAAAAACATGACCGATAACGCTACTGGGAAAAACTGAATGTGTAAAACTTTGAGTCTACAAAATTTCTTAAATTATGCACGCCAATTATGACGCATTAGCAGTACCAGTCAATTCAATAAAAAGACAATCACCAACTAACAGGCCTTATTTGATAAAGCATTCTATGGAGCAGTAATATCATGAAAAAAATAAATGTAAAAAAAATAAAAATGCAACTTTTTTTAATTTGAGATTTTTGAAAATCATCCCTTTACACGCCATATTCAGTACAAAGTGATAAATTTCGCTCCTAGTAAAAAATCAATTATTGGAAGGAAGCTTCTTCAACCAATTTGGAACGATTTCTTTGCCGTATTAGATCTCGCGTTAATTGCCCCAAATTGGCAAAACGGCAAGCTTTAAACCCCCATAACTTTACGAAAAATAATCACAGGTAAAACAACTACAGGTAAATATCACAGGTTCAAATTATTATAGACATAATCACAGGTGAAATAACAAAGGTTCAAATTTAAGCTAAGGACAACAATAGCTTTCGAATGATGTAAGAAAATTTCGCCAAAAATGGCTAGTTAAAACCTCGAAATTTGTCTGAAGAAAAAAAAACACCCGAGCACAAATATTCTGCTACTTTCGTTACGAAAGTCGGAACAAAAATAATAGTATGTGTTAACGTCCTTAGCATTGGCTGTACTTAATAACTGGTTATTGATCAAAATGAACACTTTCTCCTTCCCTACCGCGACGCTACAGAACCATGATACCTTGAAGCTAAAGTGCTATTTGTAATATAATAGTCCGTGTTAATATTCTTAGCATTGACTGTTCTTAATAGCTGAACCAAAATGTACACTTGTAAAATGAACACAATTTATCGCGACAATATTTGCGTCGCAACAATATTTGCGACTTAGGTTGGAAAAAAAGATAGTGCATACTATAACACAAGCATTCCTTGTGTAGAAAAAAGGTGTAAACCACGCTTAAAATAGATTGAGACTAATTTGATACCTACTTCACTGATAAAAACCATTCTATGCTCCGCTGAAACTCAAATTAAAAATAGAAAATATATTTTGGAATTTCATTTTGTAATCCGAACAACGACTGAAAGGGTTCCGAAGGGTTCGTCAGTTTACCTGCACGGTGGTTGCGTCCTTCCACTTTCAGCACTGTGAGACTGAATGCGAAGTCCATAAGGTGTGCCAGGTTAATAGAGGCCTACAAACAAGCATGATTACCATTTAATTAGGTTTCTAAGCCAAAAAAAACCATACTAGAAAATCCACAATGAAAAAAACTTCACCACGCATTGAGCGCAAAAAAAAATTCAAGTTCTTTACGGCAAATATAAGCAAAGGCAAGATTATTTGCGCACCTTGACTTTACAAGTACAGTTCTGATTTGAACTATCTGAAAAATAAACCTTAACATTTAAGCGTTTTTCTCAAATTGGGTTGTCTTAAGACTTACTCCCGAATTTTAGCAGAATTTTTTTGATGAAATTTATTTTGCGAAATTTGAGTTCAAATTTTTACCTCTTTTTTGGTTTTCTAATCAATTTATTTTAACTCCAAGACTGGTTCAATTGTCGACAAACTTCTTTTGGTTTTTTAATCGATTTATTTTAACTCCAAGACTGGTTCAATTGTTGACAAAGCTATATAAAATTGAGCCTCATACGCAGCCTAACACAGCTCAAAAAGGGGGTAATCTTCTTTTCTTTACCAATTCTTTATTTGATAACAAATTTCATCAAACATTTTGTGCTAATAGTTGGAGAGATTATACCCTGCGTGAACATTTTGAGCTAAAAATGAAGCTCACTTTGATACGTTTGTCAGCAATTTAACCAGTACTTTTAAAGTAATTTATAGGGGACTAAAAAGCAAAAACTGGTACCTTTTTAGCGAAAAAATGTGAGATCAAATTTCACACAAAAAATAGCACTAATTAAATCAACTGATATCTAAGCAAGTTTTCTCTTTGTCATTTTTGTTTAAAGACAACCTAATTTGACAAAAAACTTGTCCGAGTTCGCCCAGATAAAATAAAGCAGCACTGAGCTTTCACGGAGTAATTACACACTTTGAATTTGATTCATTGAAATTGACATGGAGACAGTTCAATTATTTGCGTTAAAAAATGATTGACTACACAGCCATTTGGACATACAAACCATTTTCTAACACGCAATTTCTAAGAGCTCATTAGACAAACTGCAACCATTGTGGCGAGATAATCGTTTGGGAAAAACTTTAAAACAAATCGGCGATTTTGTCAAATTCTTGCTATCTTCTAAAATCTCGGATTTCGGAAAATTTAAGATAAAGGTCTATTCATTGTTTTCTTCTGATAAAAGGAGAATTAAAAAAACAGAGATGAATTTTGGAAAAAAAAATTCGCAAAACCATATGAAATTTTTGTATAGAAATCAAAGACTTTTCAAAAAAAACATAGCCGACGGACAGTTGGAAAGGAGTTAGTGAACGCAATCTAACAGAAAAAAAATACTGATTTGTTTTTTTTTGAAAAATCTAAACGTTCGGTTTTCCGAGAAACTATCCGAGGATTTTCAAAACTATAATTCAATCACGTTTTTCGTGACCTCTAACAAAAGAAAATAATTGAACTTAAATAGAAATCAAAAGCCAAACCACGGAAAAGTAAATTTCAAACCTCGAAAAACAGCCATCGCGACTTATATAAGAATAGAAACTACGTCCATCGTCTCCCAAAAATCATTTATAACGTAGTAAAAATTAATTACCTGCACTATACCATTACAGAAGTTCATCGAAAGAATTTGAAAGATAGTGATAATTGCCTAAATCATAAGAAAAACCCCAGCAGAGATGGATGGATCCAATTGGCTATCTCATAGAGAACTTGCAGATAGAGTACACCGTCTGTTCGTCGCGCTATCTGTTTTCGGCCGGAACGGAAGTTATGTCTAATACCGACTTATTCCTACTTTTGTTTCCTTTGTCTCGATACATCTAAAGAAAAACTGGAAAAGTTAGTTAGAGAGATCAAATTTATTCTGTTATCTTTAACCTTGTCTAATGGATAACTAATTGAGCTTTGCAGAGAGCATTTAGGGATTAGTTATCGATCATGATTGGTTGGAAAAAATTACTTAACAATACTTAATTGTTTTTACAGAAAATTTTCAATTTGTATGAAAACAGACCCTGACCGGAACCTAACTTTAGGCCTGTATCCTCCCATGCATGGAGACCTACAAAACTGTCATATCTTTGTATTTGAAGATGATCATAAAAAGGCTTCGGAAACAATGACCGAGCGGCAACTAAGGCGAAAAAACTTGGGTCGGCGCTCGATAAGCCGAAAACGAAACTGTAGACACAAAAAAATATTCAAGCTATAAATTTCAAAGTATTTTTACGCCCCATCCCTCCAGAAGCAGACAAAAACAATAAATAAAATTCGCCCTAAAAATTGCGCAAAATGATTTGACGAAGCCAATTCAACATACGCCGAATCCGTTAAGCCGAAAAAAATCAAACAGCATTTAAAATGTTTAAAAATGAGAGTTGGTAATTTTACAAACTACACTGCAACTTTCAATTTTACAATTAAAAAAAAACCACTTACCAAATAATATAAATTGCATTTGAGAAAAAAAACGAAAAATCAGCCGACAGAAATTAGGACAAAAACCACAAAGCCGAAGAGAATCATCATTTTTTCAATATTTATATTTGAAAAACATAATTACTTCCCCACATGAACTAAAACGAAGTTCCATTTGAATTTTCAAGAAATTGAGCATGTCAGATCATCGGCAGAAAGTGTGAGAAAAGTTGTTTACGGGAAAAAAATTCTAGTTGCCGATTACAAGTCACTTGCTTTCGCAAATGCTACAGGTCACTATTTAGAAGTATATTTGTGATTTACCTCTGTCATCTCAAGGTTATCTGGAAGGAGCGATAGATTCATTCTCTGATAAATGGCATGCAGCTGTAGGGTGTCCAACTGGAACGTCTTGAACCGCTCTGGAAGCAGCTGCAACTCATTCTTGTCGAACAATTCCTCCGACAGAGTATGCACGATCCAGTTCAACTCATACTTCTGCATATCTGCACAAAAACACAAGTTATTTTGACAATTCATAAGCAAACGGCATATCTCGAAACGAGATCAAACGGTCAACGGTCAAACGTAGAAAAAAATATGCAATCTCTGAGAGTACCCTGACAGCACACAATTACAAACTTTTGGTAAAAACGGATGGTAATTTCAAACTTTGAAAAACCATAAAAACGTCGTATCTTGGAAACAAAAAAGAATTCAGCATTCATATTTGCAAACCCTGAGACATCCTTGGATACCCATGAATTGAAACCCCTGAGACTACCTTGGATGCACCCATCGATAGGGTTGTGAATTTCCAATTTTGTGAAATTTTCTAAATCTAAGTTTTCTGAAAAACATTATATCTCGGAAACTAGAAGTATTTGAGCAAACAAATCTGGAGGCAAGATTTGCAAAGCCTGAGAGTATCCTGAGAGCGCCTCTTTAGAAGGTTGTGAGTTCTAAACTGAAGTTTTTTGTGTCAAATTATTTGAAAAAAAAAAATAATTAAAAAACGTCTATCTTGGAAAATAGAAGCATTTGAGCAATCACAATTGGAGGCGAAAATTAGAACCTTTGAGATAAATCCGACACCACCCAACTCATGATTGTGAATATCCAATATGTTTTTGAAAACGTTTGAAAAAATCTTACAAAAAGACATGTCTCGGAAACTCAGATTTAGATAATGAGCTCAGAAGAGGCTGTCAAATCGAGGCGGCTCGACTCTCAAACAGATGTTGATCCTGAACTATATTCTAAGCCTAAATCTTACTACCGAATCTGGAGGAAACGATTGCTTGGGACTCCTCAGTTCTGGAAAAACATCGAAAGAAAATGAATAAAGAGAGCATCTGCTGCTTAGTCAGGGATTTGAAGGGTCAGTTGAAAGTAATCAGTATCAGGTTGGAAACATATAATTCTCGAAAGGATTCATTTGAAATTTCAGCATCTCAACTAGCTGTATGTGTCAACAAGGTAAGCGAATGTTTATCTTCGGTACCCCAGTAACTGATCCCCAGAATTTTGAATCAGGCAACGTAAGCACCCCTCCATCCAATAACCACCTGGCACAAATGAGAAAAAACGCGGTAAAAAATTAGTACCAGACAAAGAAGTCATAAATTAGCAAGAAAAGACAGTCGATCATAACTACGGGGCAATCACTGAAATATTCGAAAAGTTGGACAAAATCCCTCCTTTGAAAAACTTGCAAGGGCTGGGTAAGCATGTCCGCGTCGGAAACGTTCCAGAAACATACTTGTTACTCTTCAAAATAAGTGTGATGTTCGTAAGATTCTGTCAAAAAGTTACAAGCTAAAGTATGCCTATAACGAAAAACAGGTATTTGTTTCTCCGGCACTAAGTTCTGAAGATTAAGCACTGGAACGTAAGATACTCCTTACCAGAAATCTCATTAATGGTGGAAAAGACAGAAAAGACAGACTCATAAAAGAAATGAAACTCTTTCTAAAAGGCCGACAAGCTGACTTGAACGAAACAAACTGACTGCATTCACTACAAATCCTCCTTTATAATCTGCAAAGTATCCTAACTCTAAAAAAATGCACAACTTTCGTTAATGCGTTTTAACCTGCAATTATGATATAAATATGGTGACCGAAAACTGGCTTTAAACCGAAATGAAAGGCAGGGAAATACAGTAACCTCAAAATGAACTGTATCGAGCATAAGTTAAAAAAAAGGTGTATCGAAGCACGGTGGGGTTCTGATAGTAGTCAGTCATTCAAACATGAGCAATTAGATTTGAGCTGTTTACCCAGCATATAAACCAGGCAACCGTTATGGTCAAGTGTTGGTCTGGTACCACTTGCAACCTTCTATGCTGCATTTATAATCCCCCTGTATATAGCCCATACAGAATTCGACTTTGAGGTCCTATTGAACTTTATTTCCAACATCTCCTTTGATGTGATATTCTTCGGAGGTGACTTTAACTTTCCTAATACTAACTGGAATATTGGAGAAAGCGCCGACCCATATGAAAATTCGATTGTCGGAAAACTAGAGTGTAATCTCACCCAAATGATTGATTGCAATACTGCAAGGTCTAATATTCTGTTAGCCAACAATCTTATCTCTCCGATTGATATGAGCCTGCATATGTGAAATCAACATAAAACTTCTAACCATCATCCCGTGAAGTTCGAAGTCTTGACGTTCTACGACTATTGAGGTTATGCATGTATGAGTGGATATTCAACTTACTTTTATTATGCACAACGAAAATAAATAAACAGACAATCATTGCCGCCCTGGGTATCAAAGATATTTCCAATCAGCTCAACAGACTTATGCGCAGGCAGTTTTCGAGGAAACCCACTGAATCACTTCGTCAAAAAATAGATCGATTAGAAATTCTCTGTAAAGAATTGGAAAACACAGACTTGGTTTATTACGAATCAGATCTTTTTTGCTACAAGGAATACTTCTGGCACTTTTAAGTATTTCATGGGTCTTAGTGGAGCTGATCTTCACGTGTTATGAAGTGGAATGCAGTAAAAGCATCCGAGGACAGCGATAAGGCAGAGTTAATAAAAAATTATTCCAGTAGTGTTGTCAGCCCTAAAAGAGAACCTTACCAACCACAGTCAAACGGCTTTGTCAACTCAAGCCCTTCTTTAACTACCACTGATATACTCAAAGATTTTGCATCTCTATCTGTTTCAAAAAGCCGGATAATTTACCACCTGTAGTTTTCATAAAGCTTACTTGAGTTTCAGAGCCTTCTATAAGAAACATTTTCTCAAACTTGACCCGCTTGAACACTTTTCCCGCTTTTTGGACACAAGGATGTGTTAGTCCCATCTAAAAAGGAGAAGCTCTCAAATTATAGACCTGTAACTCTCTTGAATATTGCGCCCAAGCTCTTCGAAAGAATTCTCAACAACCACCTGTTCAAACTGTTTAGAAAAAATGTGCTCCATCCATCCCAACATATTCTTTTGCCTAGGCGCTCGACTATACTTTAGTTAATAACCTGGCTGAATTCGTTATATAACTCAGTTAACGAGCATGAAGTATCATTTGGTTGGTGTGATTTAGATTTTTCAAAGGCATTTGATACAATCGACCAAAACATTCTTCTTCGGTAATTCCTTGCTTTAGTCAAGTAGCATCTAAATATTATTACTTCCTCTTAAGAATAAACTAGCGTGTAACGCATCTCCGGTGCTTCCAATAAATAAAAAACCGTATATATTAAAAATAAGATCTGCATCCTTTTAGTGTACTCTGACAGCACCCAATTACATGTTGGTAATGTCAAATTTTGCAAAAAGTTTTCATATTCAAGTTTTTTGAATTCAAACTTTGAAAAACCATAACATTTTGTGAAGTTACATATTGAAAATTTTCAAAATGAACTAAGAAACGTCACATGTCGGAAACTGAAAGCAATTGAGCAGTCTCATTTGGACACAAGATTTCCAACTCCTGAGAGTACTCTTACAGTACCCAACTACAGCGTTGGGAATTTCAAATTTTGAGAAACTTCAAAGTTAATTTTTCTAATATATATTTCTAATAAAAAACAGTATAAATATTTCTAATTTCTAATATATATTTCTAATTTTTCTAATGAAAAAAAAACAGAAAAAAAAAACAAAAAAACGTCACATCTCGAAAACTACCAAGATTTGAGCAGTCATATTTGAAAGCAAGCCCCCACAGTTTCCAACTACAGGATTGAGATCTTTTAAGTTTTTCAATTTTTTTAAATCTAAGTTTTTGAAAATTTTGAAAAAATCATAAAAAAACGGCATATCTCGAAAACTACAAAGATTTGAGAAGTGATATTTGGGGGCAAGATTCGCAACCTCTGACGTCCCACTATAGGGTTTCTAATTTCGAACTAAGTAAAATAAACACTGAATTTAAACTGGAAAATCGAAAAAAAAATCTTAACCATTGCAATATACGATATAGCTTAAAGGTGAAAAAATCTTTTGCTAGACTTGCATAAATAATACATTGAAAAAGCTTAAACATGGCGAGATAGTGAAGCCCGCATTTAAATATATAATAGATAGATAGCTATTTTCAACTGTGCATTATATATATTTAGCACACTGTCTAATTAAAACCAATTGACTTTCATCTGAAGTAATAATTCGTTCATACCGATGTGAATAATCTCTGAAGTCATGATCTTTAATCTCTTGATACTAAAAATGGGAAACTAATTCATTCAATTAAATCTTTCGCTGCTATTTCAATTTATGGACCCTAAGAGGTTATGGGCGACTTCGTGAAGAATTGAGACTCTACGCCTGACAGCATCAGAGAGTAAAATTCTACGGTGGTTTGTATGAATAGGATTTCAAGAGAAAGAAAAGAATTGGTTGTATGAATTACAACTTTGAAAAAAGAAGTTTTGAAAGAGAAGTTTTACAATTCGAAATTTGAAGTGACATTTAACCATGGCACGAAGTATTCAAACAAGATTGGAAAAATTGACTTTTTCGGGAAATGAAAATGATTGGGAGTATTTTGCTGAGCAATTTGAAGCTCGTATAGTTTTTGAATTTAAAGAAAACGTTGAAGGGAACAGATGTTCCAGGAAGTAGTGAAAATGAGACTAATGTTAATGATAGAAAAGAACAATTGTGGTGTGAATTAATACAATGCCTTGATCGAAAGTCTGTAATGCTAATAAAACGCGATAAACCAGATGGTTCAGCGGCATGGAATCGGCTGCAAAGCTACTTTAAAAGTACGGAACGACCACGTGTTCAAAGAATGTTAAATGAAATTTCTAATTTGAAATTAGAGGCGAGCGAATCGATTAAGGACTACATACTTAGATCGGAAAATTTGCAAATGAATCTACAAGAAGCGGGAGAGGGTATTTCTGAAAAAATGATGATTGCAATGCTTTTAAAAGGACTACCAAAAGAATTTGATAATTTTACAACTGTGGTGAATTTTTCGAAAGATGCAAAAAGCTTGGACGAGATTAAAAGAGATTTGTCAAATTTTGCCGAAACAAGCAAGACTTTTTTGCAGAAAAATTCAACAAATGAAACGTTTTTTAGTAATAAAACTATTAAATGCTACAGTTGCGGAAAGCAAGGTCATAGAAAACAGGATTGCAAGAAAGACATAAAATGCTACAATTGCAATCAAATGGGACATTTTGCTAGAGATTGTAGGAAAAATACCCAAAATAACCATTCAAATAGCAGCCATCAAAAACAGTTTACATCAAAAAATCAACAAAACAAAAGCCATTTTACTTCAGAAAAATAAAACACTGTCGACTTTTTCAGTTTTCATTCTAATGACAATGATTTTGGCGTAAATTCCGACAAATTTTGCTTGATTGATAGCGGTTGCTCTGCGCATATGTTTAAAACACGCGAATTTTTTACGGAACTTGATACGAATATTAATGGAAATGTTGGCTGTGCAAATGGAAGTAATTCAAAAATTGTGGGAAAGGGAAAAGTAACGTTTAATGTTCAAACAAGTGATGGTCGATTGATAACTATAGAACTGAAAGATACTCTGTTTGTACCTACGTATACGGCAAATTTAGTTTCTGTATCTAAACTTAACAGAAATAAAGCTGATGTAATGTTTGATGATGTTTGTCCCAGAATAATTTTACCAGATAGTTCTGAAATTTTGCTTCAAAATCAACGAGATCTTTTCAAAATGAAAATTGAACTGGCAAATGAACACTCTGTGGAAAATGTTGCAATGGTTGTTTCGGACATAGAAATTTGGCATAAACGGCTTGGCCATAATAATTTTGATGACATCAAGAAATTAGAAAATCTAACGGAGGGAGTTAAATTTAGCCAAAAGAAACATAATAACTGTGTTGATTGTCAAACTGAAAAAGCTAAGCGGAAAGCGATACCAAAAGTTTGGGGGACTAGAGCTACAGAAAAACTAGAAATTGTTCATACGGATATTTTGGGACCAATTGATACGATATCTGTAGACAATTTTAAGTACGCAATAGGTTTTATTGATTCCTACACAAGATTTTCTGCGGTTTACTTATTGAAAAATAAAAGTGATAGCACTCAGATGCTCAAACAGTTCATAGCGGATTATGGTAAACCAAAAACAATAGCTAGTGATAATCCAAAAGAGTTCAAATTTGGAAAGTTTAAACAGTTTTGTCTTGATAATGCCATAAGAACTGAATTTTCTGCGCCTTATACACCAGAGGAAAATGGTAAAATAGAGCGAACTTGGGGTAGTGTAATGGCAATAACTAGATGTCTTTTACAAACTGCCAGCATGGAAAAGAAATTTTGGTCTTTTGCATTGAAAACAGCTTTCTACTTGAAAAACCGAGTTTATCATTCTGCAATTGGGGTAACCCCATACGAAAAATTTTTCCAAAGCAAACCTGATTTGAAACACGTAAAAATTTTTGGTTGTGCTGCATATATGTTTGTCGAAAAAGTAAACATGAAAAAACTTGATTCAAGGGCCGTGAAAGGATTTCTGCTTGGATATAGTCTGAACAGTAAATGTTATATAGTAGGAACTGAGCTTGATGGAAACTTTGAATTTTTGGAGAGTAGAAATGTTACTTTTGATGAAAAAGTTTTTCCTTTCAAAAATGACGATGAAAATGATTCTGGACGGGAATTGGAAATAAGCGTTGAAAACTATTCTGAGATTTCTGAGAAAAATTCTGCGGATAATGTCAATGGCGGAAACCTTGAAAATGATCAATTACGCCGCAGCCAACGGATCAAACAATTAAATGCGCCTGAGATTTCATTTTTTAGAAATGAGACAATTTTTGATGAGTGTTGGCTAGCTGATGCAACTTTTTATGTTGATAATTTGCCAAAAAATGCTAACGATGCACTTTCTGACCCCAATTGGAAAAAAGCAATGCAGGATGAATATAATTCTCTGATCAACAATAATGTCTGGGAATTAGTTCCACAAACGGATCAAACTATTTTGGGGGGAAGGTGGCATTTTACTTTGAAATACAATAATGAGGGGGGAATTTCAAGATACAAGGCAAGATATGTGGCTAAAGGCTACAATCAAATCAAAGGCGTTGATTTCAAGGAAACCTTTTGTCCTACAGTAAAAATGGCAACATTACGACTTATTTTAGCAATTTCAACAGCTAAGGGTTTTGATGTAAGACAATGGGACGTAAAAACAGCCTATCTAAACGCTAATTTGGAAGAGAATGTCTTCCTGCAACAACCTGAAGGTTTTGAGCAGAAAGAAAGTGGGGGTAATCAACTTGTTTGTAAGCTAAATAAATCTATTTATGGATTAAAGCAGTCAGGAAGAAATTGGTACTATACCTTACAGATGTTCCTTAAGTCAATAGATTTTACAGCGTCAAAAAGTGATCCCTGTCTTTTCATGAGAATTTCAAAAGATGTTTTGGAATACGTATGCATTTGGGTGGATGATATAATTTACGCTTGCAATGATGCTAACAAGTTTATATCATTTGAACAACAAATATCTAGTCAATTCAAAATCAGCGAAACAGCAAAACTTTATTGGTTTTTGGGGATGAAATTCAACTTTTGTGGGGATGGGTTAGAAATTTCTCAGGAAGCGTATATTGACAAGCTACTGTCAAAATTTGGTTTGATTGAGTGTAAACCAGTGTCTACACCTGCAGCTGATGGTTTAAAACTTTGTAAACGGCTACCAAATGAGGTGAAATTAGCAAACGACAAAGATTATAGAGGACTTATCGGCAGTCTAAGTTACTTGTCAATTACTACAAGGCCTGATATTTCATTCATCGCTCATTGCTTGAGTAGATATGTGAACGACCCTACTGAAGTACACTGGATTGCTGCAAAACGAGTTCTACGATATTTGAAAGGAACTAGATCGTATAAACTTATCTACAGACGATGTACTGCTACGCCAATCTTGTATGGCTATTCTGATTCTGATTGGGGAGGTGACAGTGACACTAGACGCAGTACTAGTGGATATTGCTTTTTCCTGTTTGAAAACAGCGGTGCAATATCGTGGGCTAGCAAACTCCAAACTACTGTTGCAAAATCTACAGCTGAATCAGAGGCTACAGCTCTTTCGTTAGCCTGTAATGAAGGATTATTCCTGTTGAATTTACTGATCGAAATCAAACTCGATTTAATTGATTTCAAAATGTTTGTGGACAACCAAGCATGTATTTCTCTTGTGAAAAACGACGTTAACAAGGGAGTCGTAAAACATTTTGCTATTCATCTACATTTCATCAGGGACTTAATTCAAAAGAAACAGTTGGATTTGAACTATATTGGGACTGACAATATGGTGGCTGATATTCTCACTAAGAATTTGGGCAAGACAAAGTGCAAACGTTTTGGGCTTCAGATGTTCGCCAATTGAGTGGGGGTTTCAACTGTGCATTATATATATTTAGCACACTGTCTAATTAAAACCAATTGACTTTCATCTGAAGTAATAATTCGTTCATACCGATGTGAATAATCTCTGAAGTCATGATCTTTAATCTCTTGATACTAAAAATGGGAAACTAATTCATTCAATTAAATCTTTCGCTGCTATTTCAATTTATGGACCCTAAGAGCTATAAAGAAAAAACAATACACCAAATCCTGTGTCTTTACTTAGTTTAGTAATACTTTCAATGAGAGATTGATCTTGGCAAGCCATAAATTGACTGCAGTTCAAACTTGACCAAAAACGGATTGGAACCAATTGGAACTAGTTTCGAAAGTTGACGACAAATGGTTCATTGACAGATATACCTACCAAGAAAGAAAGCCAGTTCCTTCGGAATACTCGATAGATTTCGCATGTTAGCTCGCAAATATTCTTCCAGCTTCCTCTGTCTTTTCTGCACGAATTTCTCCCGAAAATTGCCAACCAATCGTTTGCCTGGAAAACGGACTTCATTATTGGGCTCAGTATAAAGTTTGCTTAGTGATGCATGTAACTCGGCGAACTCTTTATATCTACGCCGCACTATCCACGACGCGAATCTATATTTCACTCGAATTACATAGAGAATGAAATCTTCGTAGTCTAATGTAGCTTCGATTGCTACTTTAAATCCATGATAAGCAGGAACATCGTTAAGACTCGTAGGCTCATGTTCCAAACTCTGTTCAGTTTCAGAAGAAGCAGTCGAAAAAGTTCCAGTCATAAAAACATCAGATACCTGAAATTCCCTATAAATTCCAATCAAACTGACTTTTTTGTCATCTATGGTTTTCGAATATTCTCTGTGAAGTATAATAAGTCATCTAGAAGTGGATACTTCTCCGAAGAAAAAAATTGGTCGTGGAGCCTTAATACTGTTTCCTTCAAAGTTAGCACATGGAATTTGCGCATTGGCCCATAGAAATGTTCTTAATCACCCTTTTTTAAACAAAAAATGTTTCTTTTACGGTAACATCGAAACATTTCTTTTTCTGGTTTAAGGAAACTTTATCTTTGGTCTATTCCTGACCCGTAAAACGGCAGAAGTTTTCACACATAAACACAATACCACGTCAAAACAGGTTGCAAGCTAGCAGACAAGAATAAAATAGATAGCCACGGTGTCGAAAAAAAATCAAAAAACCCATCTAAAACTTTTTGTCTGGACTGAAATTCTATTTGAAGAAAACTTGCCCAGTAACAAAATCGACGACGTTTAAAGAAAATCCAATAAAATTTATCGAGCGGCAACAGCGTTAAAATTTGGTAAATTCCCGTAGAGCAGAAAACAAAATTGTTGCCATGAAAAACTTCGTTCTATAATTTCCATTTTAGGACTTTTAGCATTTTGTGCGATCAGCGGTGAGCATAAAAAGATATAAATATAACTAGCGTTTAACGCACCTTCGGTGCTTCCAAATTTTCGACAACTCATGAAAAACCGCATATATTGGAAACAATATCTGCGAACTTTTAGTGTACTCTGACAGCACCCAATTACAGGGTTGGTAATTTTGAGCTTTTAAATTTTTTTAATTCCCATTTTAAAAGCGTCATTTCGAAAACTTAATGAGCCTCTGGAGAAATTTGAAGGCCAAATTTCCAACCACTGAGAGTCCCTGAGAGCACCCTACTATAGGGTTAGGAATCCAAAATTTTGGGAATTTTTTAAACCTAAGTTTCCCGAAAATAAAAAATGAAAAAAACGTCCTTTTTCGGAAACTAAAAGGATTGGAGCATTAATATTAAGAGGCAAGATTTGAGACGCCTGGGTGTACGCTGACAAAAAAGTTGTACCTTCATCAAGTTAGTAGTTTCAAATTTTTTGAATTTCTTTGTAGATAAGTTCTTTGAGAAATTTCGAAAAAAAAACAAAAAAAATTCACATCTCGGAAACTAAAAGCATTTGAGCAGTCGCGTTCAGCCATGTGGCAAGATTTGCAACTCTTTAGAGTACCCTGACAACACCGAACTATAGCGTTGGGCATTTCAAATTTTGAAAAACAATTAATTTGAACTTTCTGAAAATTACAAAGAAAACTACAAAGAAGTGAGCAGTCAGTTTGGATGCAAAATTTGCAATCCTTGAGTACTCTGACAGGACCTAACTACAGGGTTGGGAATTTCAGATTTTTAAAGAACAATAATAATTTAACTTTTCTGAAAATTTTTGAAAAAATCACAAAAAACTTCATCTCGAAAACTACAAAGAATTGAGCAGTCATACTTGGAGGCAAGATTCGCAATCTTTGAGAGTACTCTGACATGACCTAAGTACAGGGTTGAGAAATTCAGATTTTAAAAAACTAATAATAATTTAACGTTTTCTGAAAATTTTTGAAAAATCACAAAAAACGTTTTATCTAGAAAAATATAAAGAATTGAGCAGTCATATTTGGAAGCAAGATTCGCAATCTTTGAGATTACTCTGACAGGACCTAACTACAGGGATGAGAATTTCAGATTTTTAAAGAACAATAATAATTTAAGTTTTCTGAAAATTTTTGAAAAAATCACAAAAAACGTCACATCTCGAAAACTACAAAGAATTGAGCAGTCATATTTGGAGGCAAGATTCGCAATGTTTGAGATAACTCTGACAGGACCCAACTAGAGGGTTGTGAATTTCAGATTTTGCGGGAAAAAAATTAATAAGTTTTCTGAAAGTTTTTTTGAAAAAATCTCAAAAAACGTCATATTTCGAAACCTACAAGGATTTGAACAGTCATATTTGGAGGCAAGATTTTTTTATCTCCTTAGAGTACTCTGACAGCATTGAACCACAGAGTTGGGAACTTCAAGTTTTGTAAATTATATTGTTATTTGAAATTCCTGAAAACGTTTGAAATTCCTGAAAATGTGCGAAAACGTTTGAATTAACAATTTTAAAAAATTCTTATTCTACTTTTTGTTAAATTTTGGAAAAAAAATAACCTCGACGAAGAGTGAATGATAGATTAAAAAGTTTGTTGTAAAAATACAAACAAAAAATTTTTAGATCATTTTTATTTTTCTCAGAACAGTCTTAATTTTTATTTTTTTTCTCATCTTAACAATGAGTTTTCTTACATTTGAGTTAAAATGGCATGGGTTGTAGCTGCAAGCTCTCTATTTCATAGCTTGAATACCTTACGACCAGCAGAGAAAGCGGAACTGGACGAACTGGTATACGCTGAATCGGGATTATCGCTGAATCCTCATACCGTGAGGAAGAGACAAAATTTACAGACTCTTCTGGAAGAGCATCCTCTGGTGGACAAGGAGATAATTCTTTGGCACGACGTATTGAATAACAGTTTGTCGAAACACCGAACCAATGCCAACACGCTTTATCTTCTGGACGATTTAATTTCGTATTTGCAATCAAAGCGACATCGGTTTAAGGCGATTATATATTGCAGAAGAACCAGAACGACAGATATCTTTGATTCTCTGATGCGTACAGGGATCTTGATAGTCCCAACAACGAAATTGATCTCGAGAGGCAAGAGGCAGGATCCCGCTTTGGTGAGACAATACCTGGAAGTTCATCAATCGAGCGAACTTGAGTTGAAGTCATTGCGAGTTGTGCTGACACATAGAGAAAACTTGCCCGGGATATTCTCAAAGATAAGAGCGCGGACTCAGAAACCATCACAAGGACGACGCAAGGCGAAGGCACGCAGAGAGGAAACAACGACTGACGTCTCTCTACCATCGGCTGAAAAGGCGCGGATTGGGTAAGTGAATCTACTGTGTGAATTATCCTGCTGAGAGCCGCATGAGTTTAAGTGCTCGTGGCCTGCAGGATAATGACCGCCGTAGTTTTGCCCCCACCGATGCTGAGATGGATATTCAGGAAAAAACAAACTTGGAAATCAGTTTTGAATTACCTGAAGCATTCAAATAAATTAAACAACAATTTCCATCGATTGAAGTTTTTACGGAAATGTCAAAGCAATGACATAATACCAGATTTTTTGAGATTTTGGGTGCCAGAAAATGGGGTTTTTTCGGACCAAGCGGTGCATAGTTTTCAATTAAAACTCCTAAGAACAGAGATAAATCAGGCAAGGTCAGAAGAGAAGAAGATAGACGATGATCTAGCTAAGGCAAGAGAGGTAGTGCGGAGAGGGATAGATGAACAATGGTGGCCCTCAATAGCATTTTATCTAAAGCTCCAGGCTAGAATTGCTATCCATGACATCAAGGATAGACATGAAAAGAAGTTAAAAAAGCTAGCAGAGCGGCAGGACAGACCGTTAATGAAAGTGAATGACAAATCGGTCAGAGCACTAGGTGGCATTGAGCTACCCAAGTGGGTTCATGAAGTGTTAGGTTTTGGCCCAAAGCACCCGGTGAGGGATCGTTTCAATGAACTTCACTTTCTTGCGGACATTGATAATTTTTTATCTGAGCTTAAATCGCAAAAGGTACCAGGTGAAAAATTATGTGAAAATGAAGCTGCTGCAAAATCATACGCTAAACGTGTGCGGCAAACACCGTCGGATAGAGGGATTGAGAAAGCCAGGAAGTATTTGAAGGACAATGGTCTCTTGGCAGTCCCATTCGATAAAGGTGTTGGCTTCTGTGTAATGAAGAAAACGACATATGAGGCTAAACTAACTGAGCTGCTGCAATCGGAACAATTTAGCGAAAAACCAGGTTTAACTGATAGTGTTGTTATGAAAATTGAGAAAGACATCAACAAAGAACTGTTGGCCATGAAAAAGAAAGATGAGATCGATGAGGCACTGTATAGTAGGCTTAGGTCCACGGGAGGGCAGCCAGCTCGATTATATGGATTGGCTAAAGTACATAAGAAAGGAACCCCTCTCCGTCCCGTACTGTCACTGCCAGGGAGCTCATATGAACATCTAAATAAAACTTTGGCCAAATTTTTTGACAACATTGAGGGGGCAAACATTGAGACAAACACACAAATGGTTCGGGAGATCATAGAGAACATAGATCTAGACTAAAATGAGAGTATTATCTCCCTGGATGTCAAAAGTTTGTACACTAATGTCCCACTAAAGGAGGCAATAGATATAGCACTGAGGAAACTGTACGAACAAACTAGTCCTCCTAAACTGGCACGCGGAACTATGAAGAAATTGTTGAACATGGCTGTAAGTAAGGTGCACTTCAAATGCAACGTTTTATGGTACGTACAAAAGGATGGGTTGGCAATGGGTGCATCCCTTGCTGTCATTCTTGCCAATTTATGGCTAAAGGAGTACGAATATGCATTAATGAAGGAAGTACCTGCGTTGACACAGCTAAATGAAAACCGGAATGGCCTATGCCCTGATTGCGAGCGGAGGGTAACATACAGAAGTAAGGGGATCGAATGCGAAGCTTGTTGAAATTGGTACCATTTAAAGTGTAATAATGTATCCGACAAAGAATATGAGCAAATCTCAGAAATGGTTTGGTATTGTAAGAGATGTAAAGAGCAGCGAGATCAAGAAAAACCAACAGAAAATGTCAAAGCGTTCCTAAGATATGTAGATGATATAGTGAGGACGGTAAAGGGGGATCCAGATATAGTGTTAAAAGCAGCTAATGAGCTCCACCCCAACTTACAATTCACTATCGAAAATCCGGATTCGAACGGAGACTTAGCCTTTCTAGATTTGAACATTAATGTGGACTCACGAAAAAAGGTAACATGTGGATGGTATCAAAAACCAACGGATACTGGGACTAACCTTAACTTCAGAAGCTGCGCTCCATTGCAATATAAACGCAATGTAGTTGAGGGT